TCAAAAAAAAAAAAAAAAAGAAGAAGTAAAAATATAAAAAGAAATTGAACATGCAGAATGAGAGAAGACCCTAAAAGTTTTAATTTTCCTACAGCTGGAGAGATGGAACACCGGTAATATACCAGAACTGGGACAAAGGGAAAGAAATATCTGGGAATAATCAGAGCCAGAGATGTGGCTTCATTTCTTCCATAACAGGTTATTTTATCTATCCGTTTGGGGGTTTATACTGATGATTTCCAGGAGGCTTGAAGTCTCCTTTTCATTGCGTGAGTTCAATGAGGAGGTTCTGTTGGACTAATTTTTCTTTTGAGTTGACCGTGTTCAATTTTGACAGTCTTAAGGCTTACGGGTGGCCTTTCCTTCTGTTTAATCCATGCAATCACATTCTTGAAAATAATTTGCATCTGAATAAATATTTTCCAATGGACCAAAACAGCACCAACAAAATAGACCGACTGAAACTGTTAAAAAATTAGTGGGGGTGCCAAAAAATGCATTTACATTTTAAGAGATCTTGTTAGAAGCAAAATCAATCATCTCCCCAAAAGAGTATGAATTGCAGGTAAAATGGGTGTGCACAGCAGGTCTCTGTACACTTGACCAGTAACCGCACTCTCAATTCAACTTCGGAAAGGAACACTATTCTCTGTGAAATTTCCATATGGGCTGATTGCTATAATTTATAATTGGTCAGAACTTTTAAACCCTATGAAATTTCTTTCCCATTTACTAAAGACTTATCCATTTACTAAAAATTTTTCTTCAATTCAGTATTTTTTTTACTACCTGGCATCAATTGCTGCTTACAGCAGCAATTCATTAAATAGCAATGTTTACAAGTATGTGTAAATACTTGTAAATAGCAATTTAGAAGTATGTGTAGGTTGAAGACTGGTTTTTAATTGGGTTCATCAGTACAGTGTTGCTGGATTGATTGCTCACTTATTACCACCCCCACCTTTCTAAAGATAATGATATTCCCTCTCTACAGATTAAAAGATAATGATATTCCCTCTCTACAGATTAAAAGATAATGATATTCCCTCTCTACAGATTCATAACGTACCTGTGCCCCAGGTTGGGATAAACATGGAGAGCGATCCCTGGTGTGAGGGCATTGAGGAAAGGACATCATCCTCTGCATTGAGGAAAGGGAAATCCGTGTGGTTAAGCAGTTTGCTTTTGCCAGCAGGTGTCACAACAGCCTACAGAAAGGGCTGTTTTATGAGACTGGAGCATAGCAGCTATCTGCATTGAACAGAGCATTCCAGCCCCTCCTTCAAAATGCCAACGTCTTTTTGGCTCATATTCCCAATACTAGAAAACTGAGACTGCCCTTGCAATTTTCATGCACCCTGCACTGTTTTGGGACTTACAACTCGAATGCTAAAATATGTTCTATGTGGGTAGAACGCTTACTCTGAAACTATAGCTCTCCTAAATTAAAAAAAAAATCAGTTTGCAGGAGGCTAAGGACTTGAGGATATGTCTTATTGAGGGCATGGCGATATGTGAGTCTTTTATTTCAGGGTCAGTATTAAGAAATGCTCTTTTCTTAGAAATCGCTGAATTGGTTTTTCTATAGAATTTCCCAAAGAATTATAAAGTAAAAATAACCATGTATTATTTTATTGCCTTTTTTCTCTCTGTACATTGAAGCTGAATATTTTTAAACAAAAATATTCTTCTGCAAAGTATTCTTTTGCTATCCAAGTCAAATATTCTTGGGGTTTTAATCAACCTTGTGATTTCAATTGCAGTATTTGTTTAGGTTTTTTTTCTTTGCATTTGCAAAATTTCTTCATTCCTAAATTAGCATTACTGATTTGGCACCTTGCCCAGTTAGTTGTTGTCACTGGAGAATTCTCTGATCAGTAGTTAAGTTTTGTTCAGTTTCTAGGTTAATAAAAAGCATAACAATCACAAAAATAATATTATAGAGAATGGCTACAAAGGGTCACCATTGTTTTTTAAGCCAATTCTAATCCATTTTCTCCTTTAGGACTCTGGGGTAGTGAAGAGTGTTCAGTTTCTATGCCAAGTATCTGTAAGAGAAAGAAGATTTGGGTCATCGAGAAAGAGAACAACACACCAAAACAACATGGAACGTGTCCCAAGGGATGGCTATATTTTAACTATAAGGTAAACTTGTTTTCCAGAAGCTACCTTTGTTTCTCTTTTGTTGATACGGATTTTAGAAAGTGATCAAAACATAGGGAGGGTTGTCCACAGGACATGGAATTTTTTGGTCACAACTTTCAAGAGCTTTGAGAAGTTTTCCATTTAGTAACAAACCTTTGGAACAAAAAAGTTTTGGAAGCCTGGACACCATCCCTCACTGGTATACTCCTGCCATAGTCATTTATGGTTCCATGTGAATGTTTCCTTAGTGTGATGTGAGTTGTGTGTGCATGTGTGCACATCCACACGCATGCCTGCATGCCTGTGTGTCTATCCCGTGCTCCTGAATGAGCTGTGAACTACAGAGGGACCAGATCCATCTTCTCCTTTTTTGTCTTCCATGCCTGGAGCCAGCACAGAGCTCTGCCCACCTGTGAATTAACAGACTAATAACTTAGCTTGGTCACTGTCATCTTGAGTCTCATAAAGCTGGTGCTTTCATACAGAATTGAATTAAGAAAAAAAAATTGCCAGTGGGGATATTGTAAACCAGATTTATTATTTCTGATACTGCCTTCAATTACTTTCTCTCCATTCCTTATGTTTTATAATAAAATAACTTTATAGGCCTTAGGTGGAAGTAATTAAAATACATCCCAAATTATAATTGTTTAACTCTTAGAGAATTAAAAAACCCAAGCTGTGTCATAATCTCATATGCTAATATGAGATTCTCTTCAATCATGGATGGCCAGTTTTCAATCTAAGCACTAACTGAGCGCTTAGACTGACAGAGAGGAGGCAGGACGTCCTCAATTTCTCCGTGTTCTTCTTCCGTGTTCATTTGTGGAATGGGGCCACTTGGATTTTACACACGTTTATTATATACCGACTGTATATTTGGCACTGGTTTTTAATTGAAGTTATGATAAAATACACATAACACAGAATTTACAATTTTAGCTATTTTTAAGTTTCCTGTTTACTAATATTAAGTACAATACATTTATATTGTTGTGCAAAACATCTCCAGACCCTTTTCATCTTACAAAGGTAAAACTCTGTACCCATTAAATAGTAGCCCCCTATCTGTCCTCCTAGTGCCTGGCAACCACCATTCTACTTTCTGCGTCTATGAATTTGACTACTTTACCTCATTAAGTGGAATCATACAGCATTTGTTCATTCGTGACCAGCTTATTTCACTTAATATATTGTCTTCAAGATTCATCCGTGTTGTAGCAAGTGACAGGATTTCATTCATTTTACAAAATTATTGTCCCCAGTTTACCTGTGTGAAGACTGATGCTAATTAAACTGTGTGACTTTTCTGAAACTTCACAGTGAGTAATTGTCAGGCTAAGAATCACCGTATGTTTTCTGACACTGAGTCTGGTGGGTTTTGCCCCTTTCCTGGGCCATTCATTTATATTAGAACTTAAGGATTGCCACTCCAGAAATGCAAATGAATCCAACAGTGAGATATGCCACACATCTATTAGAATGACCAAAATCCAGAACATTGACAACACCAAATTCTGGCCAGGATGCTGAGCCACAGGAATTTCATTCATTCCTAGTGGGAATGCAAAATGGTGCAGCGCTGTGGAAGACAGTGGCAGTTTCTTACAAAACCAAAATACTCACCATGATGTCCAGCAATCACACCCATTGGTATTCACCCAAACAGGTTGAAAACTTATGCCCAAATAAAGGCCTGCCCATGAATGTTTATAACATCTTTCTTTATAATTACTAAAACTTAGAAAAAGACAAGATGTCCTGTGGAATGTGAGAGTATAAATAAAAACTGTGGTACATTTAGACAATGGAGTATCACCTAGCACTGAAAAGAAATGAGCTGTCAAGCCCTGAAAAGACATGGAGGAAACGTAAATGCATATTACTAAAAGAAAGAAGCCAGTCTGAAAAGGCCATGATTTCAATTATATGACATTCCAGAAAAGGCAAAACTATGGAGACAGTAAAAAGATCAATGATTGCCAAC